TTCAATACCTTACTCCTTTGGTCCTTCCATTCCATAGAGTTCTTTACATTACTCTTTTTTAGACGTTTAAAAATATTATTTACTTTTTATTCATATTTTAGTAATTAATACATGACTATCAACAATTATCTCTACTTTAAATAAATTTTAACTATATTTTTCAATTATTTTTATATATTATGTAAAATAAAATCAAAATGTCAACAATTTTATGAACATGGCGAATACTCCGTATAATAATACTCCGTACTCAATTCAGCTCCTCCACCTAAAGATGGACCCAATTCCTCCGTACTCATCAACGAAATCTGTCCATCCATTTTCTATGTGGGCTTACATAAATATCTTCATCACACATAATACTCCTTCCATCTTAAATTATTTGTTCTAAATTCTAATTACTGTTTTGAACTTTTGAAAAGTTTTTGCTTATCTATGAATTTTCATTAATTAATCATTTTATAATATAAATTAAAGACATCACTATCTTTTGTAGAACTTTTGATATAATTTTTAAAAACAGAATAATATATAAGTTATACTTGCACTTTTTACTTCTATAAATTTTGTAAAATAAAATAATTTTAAAATAGATAAAGTTTTGATCATTATTCAAAAGATGACAAATAATTTGACATAGAGCTTGTTTGAGAATAGCGTTAGTGTTTTCAAAACACTATCTACGGGGCAGTTTTTAGCTTTAGCATTTTTCAAAGTAATTTGCACCGTTAAAATTTTATCCAAAACGGTATCGTTAATCTTTAGCGTCATTTCCAAACAGACCCATAGAGAGAGAGAGTAGTGTACGTTCAATGAGATTAGTACTCCGTATATACTTACTTAGAAAGTCTTTCCGTCTGGTTCATTTTTTGAATTAAATGTTTAATCAACAATATTTCATAACATAAAATAAAAAAATATAAAAAAATACAATAATATTTTAAAAGTTTTTCTCATACAAAAATTATGGCAATTTTTATATTTTAATTGAGCATGGGGTATTTTTTTTTATATAGTCAAGCTATCTAAAAATAAACAATTAATCAAACATTTGGCAACAAAGCCAAACAAACACCAAAAAATTGGAGGGAGTATGTAACTTTTTAGGGTAATGCTATTTGTACCCTACAATTTGTACCTCATTTTGTACACCGCAGGGTTGTGTAATACTAATTTTTGTTAATGCATCATTACTTTGTGTCAGTGTAAATTTTTGTTAACGACCAACACTTTATGTTAGTGTAAACCATCAAAATGTTGGTGCATATTTTTAGTGTACAAATAGATTACATGTAGCATGCTCCAACTTTTAAATATGTATTCAATCAATTTACAATATGTACTATATGCCCCCCCTCTCACACACACACACCACATAGTTAAAATTTACATATTACAATATGTATACACTCAAATTAATATATTGGAATTAAACATTATCGTTAAATAATTTTTTCATAACTTTTAGGAAAAATCATTCAGAATACTTCTAAAATTACCCGATGTTTCAAAAATAATATCACCTTTCATTGTGATGCATAATAATCTCAACCTTAATGAAATTTGCAAGTTTTGGGTCGTCGTTAAGTGGCTAATGGCAGGTTTACGAGAACGGCCTGTTTTGCGCAACAAAATGAAAGTTGGGATAATATTTTATGAATTTTTGTTTTTTAATTTTTTTTGAAAATCTAATTTTTAAAATTACTTTCTACATCCATCATTTGTTTTTCTTTTTTATAGATCAGTCTTACTTTTGAATAAATAAAAATAATAGATATAAAAAATTACAAAAATGAGAAAAATAACTAAAACAATACAAAACTAATGAAATAAATAAGGTAATCAATAGAAACTCACTTGAAACTGGTAAGAAATAAAATATAATATACGGAGTGGTGGGTTTTAATATTTTATGCACTATACAAAGTATTAATGTACCACATCTTCTTTTTTTTGGGAAAAAGCATGTAGAATAATTCCAATTTTACCGACCGGCCTATTTTTTTTTAAAAATAAGTAGCACATTAAGACTCTGTATAGTGCGTAAAATCTTAAAACCCACTACTCCATATATATTTATTGTTATGGATGGTAGAGTAGGATATTTAGTTATATATTTATTAGTTATTAATTAATTAGTAGTAGTATTTAGTATTATTATTATTATATTGTAATATAGGTTTTATTAGGTGAGCGGAATTATAAGCTCCTTCGAGGATTTCTTTTCGGTTCTTTACCTCGATGCATTTGTTGAACCGACATGCTAGAAATTAGATGGGCTAGGGTTTTCATTGATTCCTTATAAATAGATATGTATGTAATCTCTTTAGAATAATCAATCAATAAACAAATCAAAACCCTAATCCCTTCTCCTCTCTCAGTTCGCCGATTCTCTTCGTCTCAATTCTTCTTCTTCTTCCTCGTCCCATATTTTCAAGAGCTTGAAGACGTTCTAAGTCTTCCCTATCCTATATGAGTTCGTATCATTTATATTATTTCTTACGAGTTTCAGTTTAATTTGTGTTGATTGCCTTATTTATTTCATTAATTTTTTCTGGTTTTAGTTATTTTTCTCATTTTTTATATTATTTTTCCTAAGGTAAGACTAATCTTTAAAAAATAAAAAGAAATGGATGTAGAAAGTAATTTTTAAAATTCAAATGAAAATTTCAAAAAAATAAATTGCAACAACCCAATAGAGTCTCACAAAAGCAGGGTCTAGGAAGAGTGTGTGTACGCAGACCTTACCCCCCTAAAAGTAGAAAGGCAGTTTCAAAAAAATTTAAAACTACAAGAATTCATCAAAAATAATTCGAACCTTCATTTTGTTGCGTAAAACATGTATTTCTGTTAATCTGTCATTAGCAACTTAATGGCGACCCAAAACTCGTAAATTTCAGTAAAATTGAGATTATTATGTATCACAGTGAAAGATGAGATTATTTTTGAAAAATCAAATAAAGTTGATATTATTTTTGATAATTTTTCCTAACTTTTAAATTAAACATTGAATAAATTGTCCAATCAAGGCCAAAAGTACTCAATACGTAATACTCCCTTCATCCCATAATTTTCTTTTTCTTTGTTTTTTCACGATCTCCAATATATTACTTTGTCCATTAGTATCTTTACTCATATACAATTTTATATTGTAAAAGTATGATATTTTAAAACTTTATTTCAAAATGAATCTATTAATTTTAAATTAATATCACGAAATTTTTTTCATATTTTACCATTAAATTTAAAAAACTTTGACCAATGAAACGAAGTGGAAGATAATTCTGAGACAAATGATCTACCCCAATGATATCAAACTTCAAAGTTAAAATTAACTTAGGGAGTGCAATTGAATAAGGTGGGGTGTACGTTCGAGTTGGGGTAGGTGAGAGGTTTACCGAGATGGGTTAGGGGGTAGGAACCGTTAATTTTACGAACAGGGTACTGGAGCACCCGGGTCACCAATATGAACTGGCCCCATCAAACTATTGGAAGTGTGAAAATTAGAGGCCGAAGTTTCTAAATTAATTGCATTTTTAGTCCCTCTCTTGACCTTATAAATTTGTGCCGTCTCCCTCTCACTCGGCCACTCACACTACTCCGCTGAACCGGACCGGAGCAAATCTAGGAAGAAGAAAGCAGAGAAATGGAAGAAGTCATGTTGAGGAGATCGAACCGGACGATCCCAGGAAGAAGGGGCCAAATCAAGGCCCGGATTCTCCGGAAGTTCGTTAGATCGGCTTGTGAGTTGGTCCCATTTCCCGGCCGTTCGAAGAAGAAGGCGACCGCTTGATCCGGTTCACTTAGCCCGGTTTCTTGTGCGACCCCCACCCGGGCCTCCAGCGGTTTCGATTCTGCAAATGATTCAGATTGTTCCTAGCTTTGTGTTCATCTAGATTAGAGAATGGAAGTTGTTTTCCTTTCTCTTTTTTTTTTGTTGATGTTTTTTAAGTTTTGCTTTTTGATGGGTATTTCTGGAATTTGGTGAGGAAATCCTCCCACGTGGATGAGTCTCATCCCATGGATCCATTCAGAAGCGGTCAGACGATTATTTAATAGGAGATAAATTGAGTGATAATCATCGGTGTTCGGTAAAGGTAAAGTCTATACGACTATACCTGATACTTGAAGATGTCTGATGCTTAGTATACTTGTTGTATGAAATCAAACTCGAGTTTATTTTATTTGGCACAACTGGCTTAACATGCTTAGTGTAGTACTTTGAATGACCCTATTTGTGATCTAGTTTTCAATTAAGGTTCTTATTTTAAATTAGGATAATGTTATTTGTACCCCAAGGATTTGTACTTCATTTTGTACACTGCAGGGATGTACCAATATTTTGTGTTGGTGTAATGCTAATTTTTGTTAACGCACCAACACTTTGTGTCAGTGTGAACCATCCAAATGTTGGTGCATGTCTTTAGTGTACAAATATGGTATAAATTTTGGGGTACATATTTCTTCCGTTCTCAAAAATACTTTTTCTTTCATTCTTTCACTTCTAACAAAACACTTTCATTTTTTAATAAAAAACTACTTTTACCCTTACTTTTCTATATTCTACCTATCAAATCATACTTTTTCTATAATACTCCGTAAATTCTAACACATCTTACTTTTAGTCATCACTTCAATTGCAAAATTGAAAATCAGCTACAATTTAATACTTTTTTTTACACTTGATCAAACTAGGATTGAGAACCGATGGAGTAGTATTTTTTTAATAAGATACATTAATTTTGAAAAAAATAAATCATTATACAATTCCTTCATAACGTTAAAATTATCGTCAAAGAGATTCATATATTCTCTTACCTAGGATTGGACTTAGGGGCTGTTTGTTTCAGCCTCTTAATGGTTCAGATGTCTGAATGATTCAGCACTTAATGGTTCAGACTGTTTGTTTCAGCTTCTTAATGGTTCAGATGTCTGAATGGTTAAGAGATTTGCCTCTGAATGGTTAAGTATTATACAGAGTCTGAATGGTTAAGAGCTGTTATCTGAATTGATCAGACATTTGCCTCTGAATAGTTAAGCAATATACTAGCTCTTAATGGTTCAGACCTCTTACTGGTTCAGCACTTAATGATTCAGACCTCTTACTGGTTCAGCACTTACCCATTCAGAAGTTGCCAAACAGCCCCTTAATATGTATGGATTCCTGTATGGTATTGAGATTCTGGGTCTTCACTGTAAATGGCAATTAAAATAGAATTAAGCTATGTGTACCCTAACATTTATACTCTAATTTGTACCCCGCAGGTTTGCACTAACATTTTGTATTGGTGTAAAACTAATTTTTGTTAACGCACCAACATTTGTGTATGTGTAAATATTTGTTAACGTACCAACACTTGTGTCAGTGTAAAGTATCAAAATTTTGTGCAAAACTGTGGTGTACAAGTGAGGTACATTTTTTGGTGTAAGTGTAGCATGGTCCATTAAAATATAGTATGTTATCCATAGAAAACTTGCCCCACATTTTATTTCAATAATTCTAAGGGTAAATTTTAGCGGTGGTATTTGAACTTTGGTTATTTTTTTGATTAAGTATTTAAACTTAATTTTCTATTAAGAAAATAGATAAACTTTCCAAATCTTTTTTTCTCGTTTTGACTTTTGTGGTAAACATTTTTTAACTTGACAAATTAAAAAAATACAATGAATTACGATCTTTGGTATCTGAACTTCAAACCTTTAACAAAAGTATCTAAATTTTTACCATCTTTTCACTAAAAGTCCATTTACCCATTACCAAGTGACCTGCAAGTCACTTTGGGCAAAATTATAAAATCTAAATTTTTATTTTTTCACATTCATCCTCATTTCTTCTTTTTCTTCTCCTTACACTCTCATAACTTACATTCTTTTCTTTTTCAACTTCCTCCCCTTTTTTTTCCGTTTTTCTTTTATTTTTTGTCATTTTCTTTATTTTCTTTTTTCTTATTCGCTATTTTCCCCGTATTTTCTTTTGCTTCTTTTTTCTTTTGATCCTTTTTAAATTCTTATTTATTTTTTTAAATAAATTTTTCACTTTTTATCATTTCTTTCCTTTTTATTTTAATTTTCTTTATTATGTCATCTTTTTTATTTTTTCCTTTTTAAAAATGTTTCCCCTGTTTTACTTTTCTCTGTTTGTTTTCGTTTTCTATTTTTTTCTTTAGTTCCTTTTTGAAATATTTATTTATTATTTATTCCTTTTCTTCCTTTTCTCATTTCTTACTTTTTTTTCTTTGTTTTGTTTTGTTTTTTGTTTTTCTTTCATTTTTCCTTTATTTATCGGTTTCGTTATTTTCTCTTTTCTCTTTTATATTTTCTATTAATAACTTTTTTATTTTATATTTAATAAAATAAAATAAACAAAAAAATCAAACCATATGTCTTAATTTTTTGTTTGTTTTATTTAATTTTTTTGTTTGTTAATGTTTTTTGTCTATTTATTAAGCTTTATTGTAAAAAATTAAACAAAACAAGTGAATAAAATAAGCCCTAAATGAATAAATAAAAATGAAAAAAAAAGACAAGAGAAAATTTTTTCGATCTCATTTTTTTTTTGTTGAACTTTTTTATTATTTTGTATCTTTTTTCTTGATATTTGAATATTATCAATTTGTTTGGCTCTGTGTTATTTTGTGAGCTTTTTGTAAGTTTTTTTTATATATTTTGTGTAAAGAACCATCTTTTTTGGTTTGCTTTGCTTTTTTATTTTGTATATTTTTTGTTTGCTTTCAATTTTTTTGTTGGTTATTTTTATATAATTATTTTTTCATAAAAATGAAGTAAGAGTTTCTAAAAGACATTTGTTTGTTTTTTAAACTTTCTCTTGTTACATTTTTTCATTTTTATGTATTTATTTAGGGCCTATGTTATTCACTTGTTTTATTTAATTGTTTACAATAAAGATTAAACACAGACAAAAAAAGTTGACAAAAAAAATTAAAAAAATTAATACGTACGGTTTGATTTTTTTGTTTAATTAAGTTGATTAAATAGAACACAGTTTACGAAAAGATAAATAATAAAGATAAAGGAAAAAATAATGAAACGGATAAATAAAGAAAAAAAGAAAGAAAAACAAAAAGGAAACAAAATAGAGAAAAAAAGTAAGAAATGAGAAAAGACATAAAAGGAATAAATAATAAATAAATATTTCAAAATGGAACTAAAGAAAAACATAGCAAATGGAAACAAATACAGAAAATTAAAAAAGTGAAAAAAAATTTACAAAGGAAAAAATAAAAAAAGAGGACATGATGAATAAAATTAAAGTAAAAAAGGAAAGAAATGATAAAAAGTGAAAATGAATTTAAAAAATAAAGATTTAAAAAAGGATCAAAAGGAAAAGAAAAGATGGAAGGAATAGCGAATAAGAAAAAAAAGAAAAGAAAGAAAAAACAAAACATAAAAGAAAAGATGGAAAAAGAAAGGAGAGAAAGAAAGGGAAGTGAGTTGAAAAAGAAATAAAATATAATTTATGGGAGTGTAAGAAGAAGAGAAGGAAGAAATGTGGATCAATGTGAAAAACTACAAATTTGGATTTTGCAATTTGGCCCAAAGTGACCTGCTGGTCACCTGGTAATAGGCAAATGGACTTTTAGTGAAAAGATGGTAAAAGTTCAGGTACACTTATGAAGGAATGAAAGATTTTAAAATTCAGGTGCTGAGTCAAAATTTTCGTAAAAGTTTAGATCCTATTCTTGAAATTTACCCGTCGAATTGTTACAACAACTCAAATACCCTTTAACGTAACCACAAATAATACATACTTTTGCTTCTTAACCGCGCATATAGCCCAATCACCCCAAAAGGGCAACTAGAGGAGATCCCCATCCTCATCAATATGGAAAGAAGGCATGTTTTTCATAGAAAGGAGAGACCATTAAGGCAAAGCACAAGAATCCATAATCTATGCTACTTTAAGGCAAAACACAAGAATCCATGACCTATTCTATGAGTCTATAGGTCACGCTTAGAAAACCGAACAGTGGTCTGCTCGTTGTCGGGTGAGTGGTATCATAGATGAGATATTCCCAAATGGTTTGAGATCCCGTACGTACGTTTTAAACTGAGTCACTGAACATAAGCATCCTCAAGACCCAACTAATTTAGTCACATGTAGTCTATCTTAGAGTTATTCTAGATAGTATTAATTGTTATAGTCACAATTTAATTGGGATATTTATTATTTAATCAAGGTTCAATCGACATAATCAATAATAATCATCATCATAATATTTAAATGACAGGTAGCGGCCTAGCATCGAGTGTTAATACTCTAGCTTACCGTCATGCATCAACTAAGATATTAGAATTGATCAAAATATCATATTTAACTTGAAAATGATAGTATTACTTATTTATAGTTGAAAAATAACAAAATAGGATTTACAGCTTTAAATTTCAGATTTGTCAGTGTTGAATAGCCCGTGACGGTCGACCGTTACTACCACCGTACTACTGGTTGTGCGATGGTCGACTGCTACCATGCAACAGTCGATTGTTACTTGTAACACTGTACTAGTTATGAGATGATAGACCATACCGTGGAACGGTCGGCCGAGTTCTGTGACTAGTTTAAAAATTTGCACAGTACTTTGTCTTCAACCTCGTTCAAACTTCCAAGATATCATTTTAAGCTATCAAACTCTAATTTAACTATATAAAAATGTTCTCTAACATGTATAGATCATTTTTAAACCATTAATTCAAAGCTTTACAAACAATTTGAAGATTTGTGATTCTTAGTTCATCAAAAACATATTTTGAGCTTTTCTAACACATAACTCAACCAAATGACTGTTTATGACTATAAAAATAATTTATATGAACATTCTAATTATTAGAGATATATATAGAGGCTCACGTCGAGCTTAAATGCCGAAAATAGAATTTTTACGGTGAAACTTCCAGCGACCACCATGGCTATATCTTCGGCAATTTTGACGGCAGCGAACTACTGTGGCCTGCTCTCCACACTCACAGCTAACTCTTATAACAAGAATGAAGGAAAATGGTGAAGAAATGAAGGAGAGTTGGAGCTCCCTATATAGGTGAAGATGGAGGTTGAAGCCAAGTTATCTTGTATCAATTGGTGATCGACGAATCATCTAGCTGCTAGTGCGATTTTCTCCAATTTTATACATCTCTCCCTGATTGTGACTAAAATGGTCCAAATTAGGGTACACTTTTTTGACCAACTTTCTCCGAATTGAAATCTGATTGCACCGTTGCGGTCAGATAGTCAAACTCTACACAACATTTTCAAATTTAATTGACAAGCTGTATAAATCACTTATTTTTTGGTCCATCTCAGTAATTAATTAACTAATTCTGATATACCTATTTTTGTGGCGTTACATTGCTGTCCCCTTAAAATAATTTCGTCATCGAAATTACCTGGATTATTGGTTGTTGAGGAGATTGAGTATTGAGTTCTCATTGATTCTTCAGTTTCCTAAGTTTTTTCTTCAAAGAAATAATGGGGTCAAATTGAAGAGTTTAATACATAATTGTAATTTGACCTAAGTGACTTGATGGTTACCTGGAAATTAGCTTCAGGTACCATTCGTGAAAGAATTTAAAAGTTTAGATATTTTTAAGATAGAAAATAAAGTTTGTGTACCAAAACGAATAAATGTTGAAAATTCAAATACCATTCGTGAATTTTAACCCAAAAAAAGAAATACCCCAAACGAAAATATTTCCCAGCATTGAAAGCCACTTTTAAAGCGTTGTTTGGCTATTGACATATATCCCATACTTTCCCTTCCTCCCCCTTTGCACTGCACTCTAATCGTAAACAACAATATGCTACTTAAAATTAGACGGAGTGAGTACTTTGTATTAATCTCACTTTAAAAAAAAGGTCGGACATGCTGGTCCTAACGAGAGCTAACTTTGATTCCTGTATTTTTCATATAAAAATAAGGTGTGACCCAACCTATTCATATACTCTCTATGATTCTAGTTACTATTTACATGTCAAACTGATTCTATTCTTTATACATTTTTATCGATCATTTGATAAAATAAAATAATTTTGTCTTCATTTATTTTGCAAAACTTTTAATATATTTTTTATTTTAAAAATCTACATTGATTTTTATTTATATTAATTTAAAATAATTTTAATCAAATATTATAAATTGAACATGAAATTTATTTCAAAAAGAAGATAGTATTACCTAAATCTATCTTTTTTTAAAGACAAACTAGACCGGCGGGACGAGACCAACGTTGTGGTTGTTTCTCTATGCTTATAAGTTGGTCAAAAATGCTTATAAGTCATTTCTAACTTATAAGCCAGCAGATGATGTATTTCTTTGAGTTTATAAGTTTAATTATAAACTGCTTATAAGCCAGTAAAATAAGTAAGAGGCTGTTTGTTTCAGCCTCTTAATGATTCAGATGTTTGAATGGTTCAGACTTCAGACTGTTTGTTTCAGCCTCTTAATGGTTCTGATGTCTGAATGGTTAAGAGAGATTTGCCTCTGAATGGTTAAGTATTATACAGAGTCTGAATGGTTAAGACCTCTTATCTGAATTGATCAGACATTTGCCTCTGAATAGTTAAGCAATATACTAGCTCTTAATGGTTCAGACCTCTTACTGGTTCAGCACTTAATGGTTCAGACCTCTTACTGGTTCAACACTTACCTATTCAGAAGTTGCCAAACAGTTCTTAAGTCTTACTTACTTATTTTTAAACAAGTTTTTTCGTATCTTCATTTTTACCGAATTACTTACAAAATTATTTCTCATCTATTATGAATTTCCTTAAATGACTTATATATCATTTAAGTCATTTAATCTAGATGAAAGAAATTTTAATTTATAAACAATTTATAAATTAAAAATGATTTATAAGCAATAAATCAAAAAAAATTAGGAGAGCTCACATTCATTTGATGGGTACAAGTTGCAAAAGAGAACAATTCGAATTTCAAACCTCAAAAAGAGGGGAATCCCCAAATCGATAAAATTTCCCTGCACTCAAAGCCACTCTTAAAGCCTTGTTTGGCTACCGGCATAAATCCCATTCTTTCCGTTCCTCCCCCCTTTGCACTGCACTCTACTAATTTACAGGAGTGGAGTGAAATGGGCGAAGAAAAGGAAATGGAAAACGAGGCCAATCCGATCCTTGACATCAATGGGGTTCCCATTCATGGCGGAAAATACACTCAGTATAACGTGCTTGGAAACCTCTTCGAAGTCCCCTCCAAGTATGTCCCTCCTATTCAACCCGTTGGCCGCGGAGCTTACGGCATGGTCTGGTACGATCTCTCGTTTCCGCCATAGCTTCTTATGTTTGTCTCTTTATTTTTTATTAATGGGTTTTCCGCAGTTCTTAAGTCTGTTAAAGTTCAGTTGGGATTAGGAATGAGTTTTGGGAAGTATGATATTAGATTTTTTGCTACGATGGGTTGAAATTGAGCGTTTAATTTGGATTGGGGATAAAATTAGGTTTGATTCTCTTTCAAAGATGGAGGCGTGGTTGTCTCAGGCTGAAGCTCCCAGCTTCATCTTGTTACTTTAGCATCTTCCGGCCTCCCCTGGGTTCGTAGAGGCAGTAGAGCTTATGTTTGGGGCTTGGGAAGATAAAGTTCTTAGTTTTATGATTATTTTTTTCCCTGCTAAACTGTGGTGTTGGGAATTTTCACCTTATAAAACTGTTGATTTTGGATTTCATTCTTTTTACTTGCTAGTTTTGTTTTGATTTCGTGCTACTTTTTTTTATGACATTGTATTGCAGTTGTGCTACAAATTCTGAAACAAAGGAAGAGGTTGCAATCAAGAAAATTGGAAAAGCATTTGATAATAGAATTGATGCCAAAAGGACTCTCCGAGAGATCAAACTTCTTTGCCACATGGATCATGAGAATGTAAACTTTTTATTATTTGCATACTAAAATCAGTTTGTTCATCTTTCTTGTTTTGCTGTTGCAATTTTGGTTACAATAATGGATCTCTATTGAATCCGATCTTTAGCATATCTGTTCTACAGGTAATCAAAATTAAAGATATAATACGGCCACCAGATAGAGAGAAGTTTGATGATGTTTATATTGTCTATGAGTTAATGGATACTGATTTGCACCAGATAATACGCTCTCCCCAGCCACTCACGGAAGATCATTGTCAAGTATGTTTTGTGTGCATATTGTTAGCATATTGTGATTCCATATTGTGTCTGCATTGCACATTGACCGTTCACAAATGTTTGTTTATTATAGTAACTTGTTTTGGTGTTTCAGTTTTTATGAGATATAAGGGTTAAGTGAGGCACTTGTCTTTTTCATACATAGGTATATTTCATAAGATAGACATGGCTCTTTATTTCTCTCTTCAGTGCCACAATCAGAAGAAACCATCAGTTAGGATAACCCGGAAAATATTAGGGGAGAAACAGAGAAGCAGTAGAGGAAAATTGGAAGGAAATTCTGGGGGAAAAAAAATGTGCTCAAACGCAATACATTCGTAATTGATATTTGTTTAAACTCATTTAATTTATGTATTTGTATTATACAAAGAGTTAAGGAATCTACTGTCTACATAAGAAACAGATTTAATCAAATTTGAATTTCCTTTGCATTTTCTAAGGTAAAACCTAACATAAGAAAATCACTCACTTTTTTTTGTTTTCAGTATTTTCTGTACCAGTTATTGAGGGGGCTTAAGTACATTCACTCTGCCAATGTTCTGCACCGGGACCTCAAACCCAGCAACTTGCTGCTCGATGCAAACTGTGATCTTAAAATATGTGATTTTGGGCTTGCTAGAACCACATCAGAGGCAGATTTTATGACAGAGTATGTTGTAACAAGGTGGTATAGGGCTCCTGAGTTGTTACTCAACTGCTCAGAGTACACTGCAGCAATTGATATATGGGCAGTGGGGTGCATTTTGATGGAAATTATTAAAAGAGAACCTCTCTTTCCTGGCAGAGACTATGTTCAGCAATTGTCCCTTATCACTGAGGTATGTATGCATGTATTATGAGGCGTTGCTAAGCAACAAAAACATTACCCCAGTGCCTCAAATGCTCCCAGTGCATTGCGTGGTAAGGGTGGTCGGATATATGCAGCCTGACCCCTATGTTTAAAGCATAGAGCGGTTGTTTTCAAATGTCATGATTAGCGTTGAAAATTGCATTGAGTATTTGGTACTTCGTACATCACTATTGAAAGAATTGCATACAGTTTAAAGAGTCATTTTGCTTTATTCCATCATACCCAAAGCCAAAAAATAGTGAATCTTTGGCACCATCGGAGATGATGGAAATAGTGACTCGTTGCTAAGCATGCTTGATAAATAATTATGGATGTGTGACATTCTTGAGAGTGCGTTTGGGAGTAGGATGACTTATTTTCTAGTAGCAAGTGATTTTTTGGGGGGAAAAAACTACTTTTACTTTTAAAAAGAGTTTCTGGAAAACAAGAAAAAAAAACATGATGCCTTTGACAGTAAAAAAAACATTTTTAGTCCTTATTTATGAATGCATCTGATCGGTCAGTTTGGCACTTTTTTCGAAAAAGCACTCAAGTGAAGTGCTCTTTTCATTAAAGCAGTTATACCATAAGCTGTCCCAAATTGGAAAATGACTTCTGCATGAATGTAGTACATTTTTGTTGAATTTTTGTTTTCCTTATGTGAAATACTAGCTATTAGGTACCCCAGAAGACTCAGATCTCGGGTTCCTTAGGAGTGACAATGCTCGGAAATATGTAAAACAGCTTCCTCCTGTTCCAAAACAATCATTTTCTCAGATGTTCCCGGATATGCCCCCCTTAGCCATTGATCTTGCAGAGCAGATGCTGGTGTTTGATCCTGCAAAACGTATAACTGGTATGGCTTCTGGTTACTTCTTGTACATGATGAATTGCATTAGGAACTTGGAAAAGGGTCGTGAAATGGGAAAAGGGGCATTTAAAATGGCTTGTTATGTTCGGTTCTATCTTGGAAAATGCGAATGAGACTCGAATAATGGAAACGTTTAAATTAAAATGAGCTCAAACAAAAATCTACCTTCCATTTTTTTTAATATTTTCTTTTCCTAGCATTTTCCGAATTCCAAATGGATCTAAAGGGTACATTTTAATTAATTATCCCACTTCTTTTGATCATGAAGTTGAGGATGCCATGAATCACCCATTTTTATCAAGTCTTCACAAAATCAACGAAGAGCCCACTTGCCCTTCTCCCTTTGTCTTTGACTTCGAACAAGCAACTCTAGACGAAGAAGACATAAAGGAGCTCATATGGAGGGAGGCCCTAAAGTTCAATCCAATCGACGAAGAGTTGAGAAGTTGAGATCTCATCCTTTTTTAGGCTTTGTTTTGTTTCATCACTGCTGGTAATGATTTTAGCTTCAGAAAGGCGAGCTGATTTGTAATGTTGTTGTGTTGAGATGTTTCGTATGATTTGAGTTGGGGTGGGGTGGGGGTGGGGGTGGGGTGGGATGTATTGTGAGTTGTATGCAAGGGTGTGTAACTGAGGGGTTGATGGATTCATGTTTTGCAGCCAAGAATCATATGATGGTTTTTAAAGAAAGGTTGTGGAGATTGTGTTCCAGTATTATGTATCTACGGGGGCACGGTGTAATACATTCCAGCGTACCATGATTACCTTTGGGCCGGCTCCTGTTTACTATTTCCTCCGTCCCAATTTAGATTTGTTTCGGTTTACGATGTTTGATTTAAAACTAAAAATTACTTTTTTAAAAACTAGAAGAAAAGATCTACAAGATTAGTAGTGACATGATTATATTATTTTATCAAATAACTAATGATATTTAGGAAAGAAAGTGAATGGAGTTTGACCATGTGAATAGTAAACATGTAATTTAATTTGGGAAGAAGTAAGTATATTTTACATTGATATTGATGAGCCATGTTTCCATCAAATAATAATAATAATAATAATAATAATAATAATAATAACAACAACAACAATTTAGTAACAACAACAACAACACTCCTAGGTACATATTAGAAAGGTTAGAAGAATACTAAAGTTAGATGAAGTTATAAAAATAGGAAGAACATTTAATAAGTAGAGAATGATTGAGGGAGTTTAAAAAAACTAGTTGGGAGAGATTGAAAAAAATTAAAACATGTTGAAATAAAAGTTAAAAAATAGAAATAATGCAAGTTAGATGAGTTTTGAAGGTACTAGACTCGAACCCGTGCGTTGCACGGCCAAATTAAAAACTAAATAATCAGTGAAAGTATTGTCGTTGGAATTCAATATGATTAAATTAACATAAGACTATAATATGAAATATTTCAGTGCAGGAAATATGAATGATATATATTGTGAAACTATTACATTATAAGTTTTGGAAAACTTCTTTATAAACTACATTGGCGGTTTGGTTCATCTTATTTGGGTCTTCATTGCATATCAAGATCTTTAAACCTCTGCGATTTGTGACACGTGAAAGCGCTACATAAAGCTGGCCATGGCTGAAAACTGACTTCTTCAATAAAAGCCCAACATGCAACAATGATTGCCCTTGACTTTTATTAATTGTCATTGCATATGAAATCATTACTGGGAATTGTTTCCTTTGAAACTTAAAAGGAATCCTGGTATCTGACGGTGTAAGCAACAACCGTGGGATAACAACTTCTTGTCCAATATTTTTCCCCGTAAGCACCGTAGCTTGAATAAGATGATTGCCCAGTCTAGTAACAATCAACCTGGTCCCATTGCACAAACCTGAAGATTGATCAATATTCCTCAGCAACATGATTGGTGTTCCAATCTTTAACTTCAACTCATGGTTTGGCACACCAGAAGCTCGTATGTTATTCAAAAACTNGCAATCCACTCAGCAAATTCTCTCATGCTGTCAAAGTTGCCATCGCGAGACATGTGTTGTAAGCGCATGTTAGTTGTCAAGCGTAAGACCGTGCAATATTTCCACAAATACGAAGAATTGATCGTAGCATTGACGATGTCTTGCCTTCTTCCTTTAGGTATGACGGGTAGAATTTGTCGAAAATCTCCCCCAAACACAATTGTCTTTCCTCCAAATGGAAGGGTCAAATTTGTTGGACAAACTACACTCATTAAATCACGTAGAGTTCGGTCCACGGCTTCAAAACAGTATTTATGGGTCATTGGAGCTTCGTCCCAAATTATAAGCTTGCTCATAACCAATAAGTCTGCAAGAGGTGTTTTTTGTTTAATGTTACATGTGGAATTTTCATGGGGATTAATAGGAATTCCAAAGCGCGAGTGAGCAGTTCTTCCCCCGGGTAACAATAAAGAGGCAATACCACTCGAAGCAACATTTAGCACAATATCTCCTCTTGAACGTATGCATGCAGACAACGTTTTCCAGACGAAAGTCTTGCCTGTACCACCATAGCCATAAACGAAAAAAATCTTCCCTTGAGCCGAATCGACGGATTCCATTATTGTTTCGTAAGCGTGTCGTTGTTCTTCATTCAACTGTCCCATCATCCTATGATGTTCATCTTTCAATGCATTCCGATCGTATTGTAATTCGTCAATAATTAATCTGTTGTGAGTCGTTGAAGCTGCGTCTAGATTGGGGAAAGGCATGTCAACAATATCTCGAAGACTCCTAGCTCGCATCCTAAGTAACATCTCTATCTCGATCAAGGCATAATTTTTTATTTGATCTTCGGTTAAGACTAAACCTGTGGATGAGATGAGTACAGTTAATCAAAGAGAGTGTATTTTAAAATACTAATAATATTAGTTGCATAATACCTTGATGACCAAGAAGACATATTTGACGATGTAGAATATCATCAGCCATGAATTCCCAACATTGTTCCCAGACATGTTTTGGCCTAGACATTGATTCGTTTGTTAATAGTGTTACAAATAAGAATCTCAGCTGTTTGGCTGAACACCAAGAACTTGCTTCCTTAAAAGCATCGATGTACTCTCTGTCATCGTCTAGTAAACCCATAGCATAGCATGCATCACGATAGGTGTTGTGAATTACACCATCGACAGTTCTCAAATCTTCGTAGGATGTCGGGCCTCGAACTATGTTTAGGAGAATTCTCATATAATAAGACTCACCAGAGCCTGGTGGGACGTATACAACACGTCCGATAGCAAAGCCTCTTAGTCGAGGTACATACTCTCTTTTAGGTTGCTTCCAAACAAATTTTTGCGGGAACTCGGCATATGTTAGCGTCTTTGCAAGAGGATATTTGTCATTTGCTTTCATCCAAGCAAGAAATTTACTCTCTTTTATGCTCTCTCGAGTGTAAACATCACTTGCATCATCATCATCTTCAAAGAAAATCCAATGTTCACCAGGAAGGTGAAAGCTTAAGCGTTCAACATTTGGACATTTATATTGTATTGGAAATCCAAATATTCGCCAAGTTGCCTCGCAAGGAGAGATATATCTGCA